TATTTCACTTAAAATGTGATATATCTTAGAATTATTATATATTTTATCATGTGCAATTATGACATAATAGACTCTTGAAAGAAGATTATGGTGGTCTCTTGGTTTTATGGTGATATAGTTTGCAGAAAGACAATGGTTTTCCATCACTACTAGAATGGATACTATTTGGTGGTAAATCAAGTATGAAATATGATAGAAAAATAAAATTTAATTCTATCTTAAGTAGTTGGTTTCTTAAGGATGAAGAGATCAAGTTGTTTGTGCTAGAATTGAATTAGATACACAAATACATGTGAAAAATAGGCAATCAATATTGAAATATTTAAAGCTCAGAAAAGCATTAAGAGGTAAACACACTTGCCAAATTATGGTATAGAGTGACATTCAAAATCAAAATTCAAAAGAGATGTAAGAGTTTGCCTAAGGAAAAGAAACAGAAATTAGTAGTCCTTCCAGTGTTCTTGCCTGGCGAATCCCAGGGATAGGGGAGCCTGGTGGGCTGTCGTCTATGGGGTCGCACAGAGTCGGACATGACTGACATGACTTAGCAGCAGCATTGACTGCTAATATATTATTAAATATTATTGTTTATATTATTCAAATCTGGATAGTTTTCAGGTAAGTTTCTCTTTTTTAAAAAAATCAGAACTCTGAATTCTTCCTATTTTAGGGAATTTATTTTTTACTATTGCTATATTTAAGAAGAATGATTAGGTTTATTATACATTATAGCAATCAACATTTATTTCATCTTAATTTTCAGTTTATAGCTACCATGAAATAATTTGCATAATTTGATACTTTTTATACTTCTATAGCATGTAATTATGAATGAAAGATACTACTTTATATGTATTTGTGAAATGTTAGAATTTTAGGTATTTAAGTGAAAGTGAGTCGCTCAGTCGTGTTCCACTCTTTGGGACCCCACAGACTATATTCTATGGAATTCTCCAGGCCAGAATACTGGAATGGGTAGCTTTTCCCTTCTCCAGGGAAGCTTCCCAACCCAGGGATTGAACCCAGGTCTCTCACATTGCAGGTGAATTCTTTACCAGCTAAGCCACAAGGGAAGCCCAACAATAATGGAATTGGTAACCTATCCCTTCTTCAGAGGATCTCTCCAACTCAGGAATCAAACCAGGGTCTCCTGCATTGCAGGCAGATTCTTTACCAACTGAGCTATGAGGGAAGCTCATATACCTTAGATATTTAAGGCGTATTTAATTTAACATAAAATCATTACTATGAAGTACTATTAATGATAAAAGTTCTTAAACTTTGATGTAAGCAGCAATAAGGTAACAAGATATAATTTTATTTGGATAGTGAAGATACTTGTTTAAAAAAAAAAAATGGTATGTTTGGAAATAAATTTCCAGGAAAATTCCATATTCTCCTTAAAGTGTTGCTGAGAGGTATAGGGAGATTATCATTAGTGAGTAAGAAAGAAAATATATCCTTTATATATATTAGCATGAGGCACACCTAAGTTTATGTTATGGGATAAGTTATTAAACAATCTTTGGAATGCCTTGAATAATCATTCCATACATTTTCTACCCTGGTCAGTGTCACTCTTAGAAATTTGAAACTAGTTTTCACTAGTAATTCTGGTTAACCTGCATATAATCATCCACAATAAATATTTATTACAGCCAGAGTTAGAAAAAAAAAGAAAAAGAAAAAGAAGATATTTCCAAGATAATAATGTAGGGACAGGAATAGAAATAGGGTTTTCATTCTTTGTGTATCCTTTTCCATTTCCTGTCACTAGAAAGGAGACATTTTATAAATGAGACTCTGAGTTATGAACCTCTCTATGTAACAAAAGTAGGGGTCACGCAATCCAGCATTTCTTGTAGCAATCTTTTATATTTAATATGTTATAGCATTTCCATATTTAATTTCAGAGTAGCAAAAAATACAGATCAGAGTCAAATCTAAATTACAATTCTAAAACAACCAACTTTTTTTTTATCCTTCTGGTAATATCTGCTGATTTATCTTATTGGCTTTCTTGGATTTTATGCTTTGATCCTTGCTATTAGAGAGTCGAACAAATTTATGAGTATTTTATCCAGATGACAAATTCTCCCAGATAGGACAAATCATATATTTGCTAACTTTTTACACTTTAGGAAACTATCTTTAACCTTTTTTTTTTTTTTAATATTTAGGGATTTCTCTATTTCATATGCATTTAAGTGACAACTTCTAATTTTGTCTTTTATTTGGAAATCAATAATTAAAAGAAGATATTTCCAAGATAATAATGTAGGGACAGGAATAGAAATAGGGTTTTAGTTCTTTGAGTATCCTTTTCCATTTCCTGTCACTAGAAAGGAGACATTTTATAAATGAGACTCTGAGTTATGAACCTCTCTATGTAACAAAAGTAGGGGTCACACAATCCAGCGTTTCTTGTAGCAATCTTTTATATTTAATTTGTTATAACATTTCCATATTTAATTTCAGAGTAACAAAAATACAGATCAGAGTCAAATCTAAATTACAATTCTAAAACAACCAACTTTTTTTTATTCTTCTGGTAATATTTGCTGATTTATCTTATTGGGTTTCTTGGATTTTATGCTTTGATCCTTGCTAATTAGAGAGTTGAATAAATTTATGAGTATTTTATCCAGATGACAAATTCTTCCAGATAGGACAAATCATATATTTGCTAACTTTTTACACTTTAGGAAACTATCTTTAACCTTTTTTTAAAAAAATATTTAGGGATTTCTCTATTTCATATGCATTTAAGTGACAACTTCTAATTTTGTCTTTTATTTGGAAATCAATAATTATTGTACGTACTGCTTTGATACAGGGCATTCTGGAATATGGTAAAATTAAGTTGGCTACTTGGTTACTGTTTTACCAATACATCCTATTTTATTTTTATAGCAAATAGCTTTTATGATTTCATTTCAAAAAAGAGCAACTATAAATAAAAGATTGAAAATCAGTACTCAGTTGTAAAATAAACAAACATTTTACTCATATTTTATCCTATGAGAATGTATAAGATTGCATGATTAATAGAAGACTTGGGAAAAATTTCTCAAAACAATTTTGTCAAAGATATCAATTCATAAATGATAGCACACTCATTCAAAATATGAGTTTAGCTATTTCAATATGGGTGCATATGTCTTTGTGTATGCTTTTTAAATCCAAGTTAACAAATGTACTATTAAAGTAATAAAGACATGTTCAACAAAAATTACAGCTTTGCTTAAAAACTAAATCATACATTTTGTTTTGGCACATGTCATACAAATTTAACTTGAGGCTCCCCTGGTGGCTCAACTGGTAAAGAATCTGCCTGCAGTGCAGAAGACCTGCGTTCAATCCCTGGGTGGGGAAGGTCACTTGGAGAAGGGGATCACTACCCGCTCCAGTATTCTGGCCTGGAGAATTCCATGGACTGTATAGTACATGGGGTCACAAAGAGTCGGACAGGACTGAGCAACTTTCATTTTGGCAGGCTACAGTTCATGGGGTTTCAGAGTCAGATATGACTGAGCAACTAACACACACACACACACACACACACACACACACACACACACACACACATGAGTCATATTATTTTTATGTTGATACAAAATTTTAGGAAAATATGATATTGGTTAATGAAATTATGAAGGGGTAAGTCAACAAAAAATGTTCTTATTATAAAGTCACTTTTCTCATTTTTCACATAACTTCATTTTTTTCACAATAATATAGTGTATTCTTATAAATATTTCACACAAGGTGGGGATATAATGAATGTGAAATTTGGTCAGCTCAGGCTAATCCTAAAGAAAATTCAATTGATTAATATCTTGTTACATGTCTTTATTTTTATATGGATTTACATGTATTTGTTATTTCTGCACAAACTGAATAACTATACAAACATTATTTTATAGCTTTCCTTTTTACCTAAATAGTTTCTGATTATTATGGCTGACACAAATAGTTATGTGTATAGTGATTACTAAATATACTAAAGCAAGTATTCCAGGAAAAAATATATTTTACTGCAAAAATGCCTGTAATTTAATTTTAAGTATGTTTTATTCTGTTATGGCTCATGTGAAAAGTCAAAGTGTTAGTCTGTCAGTCCTGTCCAACTCTTTGTGACCCCATAATCTGTAGCCTGCCAGGCTCCTTTGTTCATGGAATTCTCCAGGCAAGAATACTGGAGTGAGTTCTCATTTCTTACTTCAGGAATCTTCCTGATCCAGGGATCAAACCCAGGTCTCCTGTATTGCAGGCAGATTCTTTACCATCTGAGCCACCAAGGAAGCCCTATTATGAATCATACTGGGGGCTTAATAGAATAAATCATAACTAAAGAGGGGAATATATGTTTGCCAAACTTAAGCTTGAGATTCTTCTTTCCAAGATCACAATTTACTATCTATAAGAACTGTAAATCCATTCATTGTTGATGGGAATGCAAAATGGTACATCCACTTTGGCAGAAAGCTTGGTGATTTCCTACCAAATTAGATAGTCCCTTATTATATAATTTAGCAATTAAGCTCCTTGGTATTCACCCAAAGGGCATGAAACTTTATGTCCACACAAAAACCTGCACATGTTTTTTTATTGCTGCTTTATTTATAATTGCCAAAACTTGGAAGAAACCAAGATTTGCCTGTAGGTGAATGCCCAGTAAGTGAAAGGATGAACAGTGGTACATGCAGAGAATAGATATAGCACTATTAATAAAAATAAATGAAATATCAAACCATGTAAAGGATGGAAGAATCTTAAATCCATATTTCAAGTGAAATAAAACAATCTGAAAAGTCTTGCTATATATGATTCCAATGATATTTCAACTAAATCTTGTAAAAGTAAACTTATGGAGACAGAATAAAGATAAATGATTCACAGGGTTGGGGTGAGGGTTGAAAGGAGCAATAATCAGAGAGATTAAAAAAATATTTTGTGTAATACTATAATGGTGGATTCACGTCACTCTGTTTGTTTAGACCTACAGAATGTAAAATAGCCAAGAGCGATCCCTAACATAAGCTGTGGACTCTGGACGATAATCATGAGTCTGTGTGGATTTACTGATTTTATCAAATGTACCACTCTGGTGGAAGATGCTGATAACAGAAGAGGCTTTAAATGTGTGTGAGTAAGGGATATGTGGGAATTATTTATACCTTCTATGACTTTTGCTGTAAACCTAAAGCTGCTTTCCAAAAATAAAGTAGTAAAAAAGAAAGAATTGAGGATACATTTTCTGTGCTATGCCATGGGATTACACCCAAAGTTATGGAAAGAGAAGGTAAAATTATCAGCATTTATTGGGGATCAGTTCCCATTTAGTGAGTATAAATCCATTACAATACTTACTTAAAATTAGGCTTTCTAATTGTATTATTGATCCATTTAGTTATTATATCTCCTTATGAGAAGACCATTTCTGAAGAGGAACACCTTTAGATAACTGGAATTGGAAAAAAAAGATGATACCTTATTTTTAATCTCCAATAAGGCTTTTTTTCCCCTTTATGCATAATCTCTGATTCTTCAGGAGTTATCTGATGGGTATAGGGAGAAACACACTTTAAAATAGCTTTCTATTGTATATGTCAATAAATGCAACTAACAAATACTCAGCTTAAGGTCTTCTTATTACACAATTTTATAGATTGCTGCTCTTATTTCCTCTGCCTCTGAACACAAAACAAGGATGAGAAGGTACAGAAAATGTTATGTAAAGACACAAGATGTCAGAACTAATTGTCAAGACCAAACAGGAAGATGGTCAACATCAATGAAAACTAAATTTCTAAAGAAACCATCACTTAAATGAGTATGATTTATTCCCCATTCTTTTGATAATGGAATTTTTTTCAACTCTACTAAAATGTAAGGGTAAAAGATGTGTAGGCAAAAGACCTATGAATGAAATGAAAACTGTGTGAAAAAAAAATACTTTCTTCTTAGATACACTTGTTCTCATATGACCTCCTAATATGTAGCTCCAGAGTCATACAACAGCTTGTATTACAGAGAATAACATATTAAGATGTCATTTTCATGTTCACATGGAGGGGTATTATATTCTAATAATATATACATTTGAGAATGGTGTCTAATCTCTTTTTAATGTTTAAATGGTCCTAATTTCTTTTTCTAATTAAATTTTAATAATATTTATTAATTATATTCAAAGAAAGATAAAATTCTGCTCTACCCTTAGATCAGTATATGGCTGGTTCTATGCAGAAAAAATTTTAATGAATAGAGATATTCTTGAACCACTAAAGCAAATCTACTGATATCCACAAGTTGTCCATATCCATTTAATTTGATAGAATAATGTAAGATAACAAGAGTATAGTTTATCTGTTGCTAGAAAAATTAACAGATCAGAGGCAATTGTCAGTCCAGCTTAAGTCTGAAGTCTGAGTGCTATTATGTCCCAAAGAAAGCTGGCAGGAAGAATCTTCTGCCTCAAAACTCACTGATAGAGTTCTATCAGGATGGAAAAATGTGCAAAAGTGAACTCAAATAAAATTTCAATGGTACCTAGAGTATGGGAGACATAACTTTAGACTTGAATTTGAAGTCAAAGAATGCAACCAAATCACGCACATCATCATCTTCACTGTGCAGAAATGCTTTGTAAAGCAAAGATCAAAGGATGTCAGATCATATTGTGAAATTATTTCCTGAAAGCAAGTAAGGAGAAACTAAGTAAATTAAAAATAAGAACACCCTAATGATCACAGCGATGTTTTGAGTGTGAATATGTAAATCTACACATGACATGAGTGAGTGAAAGGGAATATTCTATTTGCTTAACAAGATTTCATTTCCTTTCTTTCATTCTTTTTTTTTTTTTTGTGGCAGTACAAATTACCTATGCTTCTATCCAAAAATATATTCTCCTAGTGATTGCTTCTTTATCATACTCACTTTTGGAAAACATTGTTAAGTTTTTCTGAACACAGTCACTTTGCTTAATGCTGTGTAGTTCCCCGTGATGAGGTGAGAAAAACGATGAACAGGGTCACTCTATAAAATACAATGGTATTTGTAGAAGCCTTTCTGAACACCTGCTGAGAGAACTAGCATACTCTTATATTAAAGTTTTGCTAAAGCTATAAGAAAACAAATGTAAGTTAAGTCACTGTACTGTTGAGTGGAGAAGTAATTGAGGAACTACTAAAGATGCAGGCTTTTACCACAAAAGTAACTGGGTAGTCTCATTCACCATGCCATGGAGATTTTCTATATAATTTGACAGACTCTGGTAACAGAATGGGTTCAGTCTGACTAGCAACACTTCTGTGGTACTAAACAATCAGTTAACTCACAAATTGACCCAGCTTTCATTTGGAAACATAAAGATCAAATCCTGCTTGGAGAGAAGACTGCAGCAAGTGTGAAGACAGATTATAGGTTACAATTAAACTATCTGAGTCTCTACTGAGAGATCAAAGGTCAAAGGAAGGACAGAGGCATGACATTGACAATGTAGAATAATTGCAGTTCTTCAGATCTGTTAAAATGCAGGCAATAGGGGAACATTGAAATATAGTGGTTATATATTTTCTAGAATTTTTCAGAGCCCCTATTTCAAATACATAATCATTGTGGTATCAGTTTAAACGTAACACAATGTCCCTCACTGGCTGATGTAGCCCAAAGTCTTCTGGTTACACATGCATTTCAAAAAAAAAAAATTATATATTGTGTTTCTTAGAGTGAAGAATCTGTCTTCTGCCAAGATTGTAGTTGAGATGATATGCTTCAATAGAAATATGAAAACATACCAGAGGCCTTTAAAGGTAAGCAATGATGAAAATCAACTTTTCAATATTTGGGAAAAGGATTTAAAAGGCAAAGATCATGGCTTATGTAGACTGAGACATATGGTATATAGTGAGGAGTAGAAAGATATAAACAAGAGGGTTTACTGAGAGTTTTGTGTGCTTGTGTGTATGTGTGATCAGTTGCTCAGTCCAGCTTTTTGTGTCCAACTTTTTGTGACCCCATGGACTGTATTCTGCAAGGTTCCAATGTCCATGGGATTTCCCAGGCCAGAAAACTGGAGTAGGTAGTCATTTCCTACTCCAGGGCATCTTTCTGACCCAGGGATTTCATTCACATCTCTTGCATCTCCTATATTGGCAGGCAGATTCTTTACCACTGTGGATCCTCTGAAATAGGTAAGTCAAGAAAAAAAAAAAAAATGCACATCAAATCAAAAATGGTGGGTAAGTGCAGAACTGTTCTTAGTAGAGAATGTTCATATCAGATTACTTATTTATTACCATATTTAATGGATACCAAAGGGTAGTATGTAGCAGAGTGTGTATGTAGTAGTAGTGTTGTAGTGTTCTCAAGTTCATAGAAAACACTAACCCCATCCTCCTTCCTAACTTTATTTTGCTTCATAACAATTATCACCTCATAATATATAAAGAAGGCTGAACACCGAAGAATCGATGCTTTTGAACTGTGGTATTGTAGAAGACTCTTGAGAGCCCCTTGGGCAGCAAGATCAAACCAGTCCATCCTAAAGGAGATCAATCATGAATATTCATTGAAAGGACTGATCCTGAAGCTGAAGTTCCATTACTGTGGCCACCTAATACGAAGAACTGACTCCTTGGAAAAGACCCTGATGCTGGGAAAGATTGAAGGCAGGAGGAGAAGGGGACAACAGAGGATGAGATGATTGTATGGCATCACTGATTCTATGGATGAGTTTGAGCAAGCTTCAGGAGATGATGTCAGACAGGGAAGCCTGGCATGCTGTGGTCCATGGGGTCGTGAAGAGTCAGACACAACTGGGCAACTGAACAACAAATCCTGAGCCATATGCAACAAGCTGAAGCCACCATCCTCTCTGCCAAAGCCTCACTGGATGTTTGTTTTACTCTGCTCTCCCTCTCTACTCTTCTAAGGCCACACTAGTTTTCTTTACGATTAATTAATACACAGCCCTCTCCCTCCTTGGAGTATTTGCAGTCGCTGTCCATTCTATTTGAAATGTTCTTTCCCTGGATATTGTATCACTTAATGCTTTGCAGGTATCTATCAAGTTTGGCCTCAGAGAAAGCAACATTTTTTTTTAATGTTGCAAGCCACTCACTCCCTTCTTAGTGAATTCTATATATATTCCTAGATTTTTCATTTTTTTAGGGATTCTCTGGTGGCTCAGATGGTAAAGAGTGCTTGCAATGCAGTAGACTGAGGTCCCATCCCTGAGTTGGGAAGTCCATGGAGGAACTTTTCTCCTGGAGGAAAGCATGGTCACCCATTCCAGTATTCTTGCCTGGAGAATCCCATGGACAGAAGAGCCTGCCAAACTGCAGTCCATGGGATCGCAAAGAATAGGACATGACAGTGACTAACACAGAGATTTAAAAAAAAAAAATAATGTGGATTCTAATATATTTATTTTATTGAAGTATAGTTGACTTAAAATAGCTCAGGTGCACAGCAAAATGATTCAGTTATACATACACACATGCATTATTTTTCAGATTATTTTCCATTATAGGTTATTACAAGATACTGACGGTAGTGCCCTGTGCTATACTGTAAACCTTTGTTGCTTTTGTTTTCAGTCACTCAGTTCAGTTCAGTTCAGTCACTTTGTCGTGTCTGACCCTTTGTGACCCCATGGACTGCAGCACACCAGGTCTCCCTGTTCATCACCAATTCTCAGAGCTTGCTCAAACTCATGTCCATCTAGTCGGTGATGCCATCCAACAGTCTCATCCTCTGTCATCCCTTCTCCTCCTGCCTTTAATCTTTCCCAGCATCTGGATCTTTTCTGATGAGTCAGTTCTTCACATCAAGTGGCCAAAGTATTGGAGTTTCAGCTTCAGCATCAGTCCCTCCAATATTGAATATTGGTCTGATCAGTCCTTGAATATTCAGGACTGATCTCCTTTAGGATGGACTGGCTTGATCACCTTGCTGACCAAGGGACTCTCAATAGTCTTCTCCAACACCACAGTTCAAAAGCATCAGTTCTTCAGTTCTCAGCTTTCTTTATAATCCAACTCTCACACCTGTACATTACTGCTGGGAAAACCATAGCTTTGACTAGATGGACCTTTGTTGGCAAAGTAATGTCTCTGTTTTTTAATATGTTCTTTGTTACTTGTTGAGTATCTTTTTTTTTTTTTTTAGAAATCTAGTATTCTATTCATACTAAGTCAAGCAAGTGGAATCAAAGTGCCAACTTTTTTAGCTGGACAGATGCTTATAAGTTTTCAAATATATATATACAATATTATATTATGCATACCATGTATAAATATATGGATACAAAGTTATCCTACTATGCTTGTTAAAGGCTTGAGAAAGAACATAAAAAAAAGAAGAGATGGAGAAATTGGAAAATGTAAACTAAATGAATTAGGAGCACTGAATATGAAATAGAAAAAGTGAAGAAACTAGGTAAAAGTAAAAAATCATAATGCAGTCCAGCTGTTTTTAAACATGACTTCTCATTACAAACATAGGTGGAACTTAGAAGAAAAAAGAAATACCTGGGCATTTGTACTTTTAAGAAAATTCCAAGATAATTCTGATATGCATCTGGATTTTTAAAAGTGATTACAGTTTTTTCTATTAAATGGCAGTTTTGGTGATATAAAATTCTATTGTTTTCTGCTAACCCATCATGATATAATGGTATCAAGTTAATAATAGTCACATAATCACAAT